GGGGGTCTCTGCAGGATCTGTGGGGGGCTTTGCAGGATCTGTGGGGGGCTATACAGGATCCATAGGGGTCTCTGCAGGCGGCAAAGCCCCTCACAGATCCTGCGCAGCCCCCCTGAGATCCGGCAGACTGCAGGATCCGTAGGAGGTCTCTGCAGGATCTGTGGGGGACTCTGCAGCCTGCAAAGCCCCCCACAGATCCTGCGCAGCCCCCCTGAGATCCGGCAGACTGCAAGATCCGTAGGGGGCTCTGCAGCCTGCAAAGCCCCCACAGATCCTGCGCAGCCCCCCTGAGATCCGGCAGACTGCAGGATCTGTGGGGGTCTCTGCAAGATCCGTAGGGGGCTCTGCAGCCTGCAAAGCCCACCACAGATCCTGCACAGCCCCCCTGAGATCCGGCAGACTGCAGAGTCTCAGGGGGTCTCTGCAGGATCTGTGGGGGGCTGTACAGGATCCATAGGTGTCTCTGCAGCCTGCAAGCCCCCCACAGATCCTACACAGCCCACCTGAGATTCGGCCAACTGCAGGGTCTGTGGGGGTCTCTGCCGGAGACAGCTTGCTGGGGGCAGGGGGGCGCAAAATTTTGTTCTGCCCCGGGCGCCCGTGACTCTAGTTATGCCACTGAGTATACAGACTCCTACCTCGGCCTCTTTATATCTCTCATGGTGAGATGCACCATTGTAGACCGTGGCTCCATCTCACAAGCCCATCATGAAGGTCTCTCGGTCGGTCGGTGGCTTGGTCCCGGTCTCGGTCAGTCGGTGTCTCGGTCTCGGACGGTCGTTGTCTCGATCGGTGTCTTTGTTGGTCGGTGTCTCGGTCTCGGTCAGTCGGTGTCTCGGTCTCGGACGGTCGTTGTCTCAATCGGTCGATGTCTTTGTTGGTCGGTGTCTCGGTCTCGGTCAGTTGGTGTCTCGGTCGGTCGGTGTCTCGGTCTCTCTTTCGACAGAGTTAAGCACACTAGTTGGTGTTGATGCTGATCTCTCACCTTTGGAGCTTGTGAGCGAGTAAGAGAGATCACACCTACCGGTCCCCAACCTAACCTCCTAGTGGTGCCATTGTGAAATACAAACACACCACTACCAAAAATATCATCATCTCTTGACCTATGTCCTTCACAGCCACATGGGAACTAATAAATGACAGGTGCCCTTTAATACTACAGTGGTCCTGCCAATGTTACCTGAGATGTATCTCCAGCAGCCTGGAGCTGTTTCTGCTTCTCCTCGATCTTCTGACGCAGCGTGTTCAGTACCAGCTCCACCACTCCCGGCGAGCATTGGACAACCTTCCGGATCACATCATCCGGGACGGAGAAGTTCATTTTACACAGAACTTTCCTAATGAGGAGATGCAAATGATTCATCAGGAGGCTGCAAAACTAAAACTTATCACCGAACCTGAACCTTCACTTTTCCTACATTTCGTGCCAGAAAATAACTAAAAAACAATGAGCCCCGGCACCCAACAATTGGATGTCCCTGACATAATTCCAAGTTCTGGGAGTTTGCGGTGTCGCTGCCCACCTCTGTCCCATCTACTGCTGCTACCGACTCCTACATCCTTCATAATATCATTTCATTAAAATATTAGTCAAAAATGGTGGGAGCCCCTCATCATGGGCACAGCAGGTGTACAGACCCGGGAACTCAGTACAGGGATGGTGGGAGCCCCTCATCATGGGCACAGCAGGTGGACAGACCCGGGAACTCAGTACAGGGATGGTGGGAGCCCCTCATCATGGGCACAGCAGGTGGACAGACCCGGGAACTCAGTACAGGGATGGTGGGAGCCCCTCATCATGGGCACAGCAGGTGTACAGACCCGGGAACTCAACACAGGGATGGTGGGGGCTCCTCATAATGGGCATATCAGGTGTACAGACCCGGGAACTCAGTACAGGGATGGTGGGAGCCCCTCATAATGGGCACAGGAGGTGTACAGACCCAGGAACTCAGCACAGGGATGGTGGGAGCTCCTCATAATGGGCACAGTAGGTGTACAGACCCAGGAACTCAGCACAGGAATGGTGGTAAGTCCTCATAATGGGAACAGTAGGTGTGCCGACTTGTGAACTCAGCCCAGGGATGGTGGGTGCCCCTCATAATGGGCACAGCGTGTATACAGACCTCATAATGTCCAGAACGGATGTAAAGACCTGGGAACCCAGCTCACGGAAATCTCCCTCTGAGTGGAAGTTCCGGTATCGGAGGTAAGTATCGGAGTATTTGGGCGAGTACGAGTACTCGCCCAAATGCTTGGTATTGGCACCATTACTAGTATTGGTATTGGTGCATCCCTAACAGGAAGTGTGTTACTGGCAGGATCTCCAGGTGAAAATAAAGAGAGGAAAACGAATGCAGCCACCACATCTAAGGAGTGGAAAGCTGCAGTATGTGACATTTCTGGTTTTGAGGTTGGATAAGCTTTGAAGAACATTTATGGGGAAGCGATATAAAAGATTATGCTGGGGTCATAGATAAGCTCACATCTCATGTACCCAATGGTGGCACCTCAATGGGCACTCCTCGCCAGCCAGCAGATTCCACCAATCCTCTGGCTGCTACTACAAAGCTGGAGAGGAAATGGGCCAGTCTGGAGACAGCAGGCGAGAAGGAAGATGTACAGGGCTGGATTTACTCTCCCTGCTGCCCCAAGGCCAGGTTCCGCAATGCGCCCCCCTACCTGCCAACCCCCCCAACGCCCCACACACCCACACCCCCATCAATAGAGAACAGCAACCAGATGGCAGGGCTAGTGTTTTTTTTTTTATTGTTTCTTTATTTTTTTATAACTTTTTTATAACTTTTTTACTTTTTAAAATTTGTATTTATCTTATTGTTTACTTTTTTTATTTCTAATAATGTTTTTATCTTATTGTTTATTTTTTATAATTATTTTCTTATTTTTAAATCATTTGTTTCTTATTATTTTTTTACTTTTTAATCACCTTTGTATTTTTTTTAATTTTTATTTCTTTAGACCCCATTCACACTGAGCGACATGGAAATCGCGCGACTTTGAGCGACATTGAGCGACGTGTCGCGCGACATCTTCCTATTGGGCTGTATGCAATCAGGAGCAATATCGCTCAAAATCGCTCTAAAAAATGGTCATGTAGAAGCGACAAGCTACCAGCGACGAGCTACAAGCGATATTGAGCGATATTGAGCGACATTGAGCGACGAGATGTGAACAGCTACATTGAAATGTATTGGTGAAGCTACATAGAGCGATATAGTGCGGAAATATGAGCGATATCGCTACAAAAATCGCGCGATAAATCGCTCAATGTGAACGGGGCCTTAATCATTTTTCCCCCCGCTTAACTTTATTGCTATCACACAGGGGATAACAAACCCCTGTGTGATAGCAATTGGAGGTGACAGGTTCTCTTTATTGACCTTGTCACCTCCAATACAGGAGTTCTAGTACTGTGCTGGAACTCCTTTCACAGCTGAGGGTGGAATACCGCTCTCACTGTCTCCACGAAGCGGCAGGGTTAGTTTCAACCCTGCCGCTCTGCACCCCGCATCGGCTGCAGGGACTCGGGACAGGAGAGAGACTCGGCTGCAGGGGGAGGACGGAGCCGGGAGGATGGAGCCAGCATGGAGAGAAGTAGGTGCGAGGGGGGGCGGGTGGAGAACGGGCAGGCTGCAAACTTATTACAAGTGATCTCGGCGACGTGTACACAGGCGGGTGCTTGTAGTGACCACGGATGGCGCTGTGAATAGCATACAGATAACAAAGATGTCACCAGCACACCAATCAAAGGGATTCAGCAAAAATCCAATTTAACCCCTTCGTGACTGACGACGTACAGTGTACGTCGCCAGCATCGGGGCTGTTTAAACAGACTCCCGGCGACTTTTGCCGCCGGGACTCTGTTTAAACTTGTAGAGCCGACTCTCGGCTTTACAACAGAAGCGATCCTGGTGGGGTTAATGACAGAATGCCATTCAGCTTCAGGTGCTTTAGGGGGCCTCAAGGGGTCCCCTTTATCAGGCTCAGAATGACCGTCATTCTGAGCCTGATGAAGGGGACCCCTTGAGGCCCCCTAAAGCACCTGAATTCTGAATGGCATTCTGTCATTAAAATGGACTTTTGCTGAATCCCTTTGATTGGTGTGCTGGTGGCATCCTGGTTATTAGCAGACGAGGAGGGTCACTAACCGGTTCAGTGTGGTCCAGTTGCTGAGCTTCTGCTGGGTGGAGTTAGCTGGGACGTAGTTGTGCATCTCAACCAGTTTAGGAAAATGGAATTTCACCACTTCGGCGGTCAGCACTGGACAGGCAGAGAAACACATGAGATACGATTATGTGTGTTATGTATACAATCTTCTATTTTCATACAAGGTACACTTTTAGAAGGAAGCTAGAGTGTTTTAAAGCTGAACTCCGACCTTCCCCTCAGTCTTGTACAGTTGTCCCGGCTCATCTCCTGGACTGAGATTTATTACCCTGATTTCACTGCACACTGGGAGCTTCTCACAAAGAACATTGCCTCTGTGAAGGTGCTACCTTGGTGTAAACTCTGTTACATTCCTGTCATGGGGTGGCAGTGAGTGATACTTTTTTTTTTTTTAAAGGTCACAATTGCAACATCAGATGCTGTGAACGGTGTGTGTTTCTGTTAAACAATATGGCTACAGTGTGTCTGCTCAGTTACCCCCCTCCAGTGACAATCAATCTCAGTCTGCTGGCGCTCAGATTGTGAGGGTAAGCTGAGAGAGTGTAATTGTACTGCTGGATAGTTCTGCTCTGCCCCCGATCTAACTCTTCTCTGGATTTCTTTGCAGCAATAAATTGTATTATGACGGGGTTACCAAAGAAACAGAGAGGATCCTACAAAAACATCCATCTCCTTTTCTGTTTCTTCAGTCTACACAGAGCTGCTGCAGGTCCACTATTGCCCACTAGGTGGCTCTGTGGATCCAGATAGGAAGAGTCTGTGATGAGTTCATTGAACAGAACAAGCCTCCCATTGATAGTTTGGGGTGTATAGAGTGGGAGAGCTACAGAGATGGGCATTGAGGACCTGCTGTTGAACATGTTAGTGTCATGGCTGCCTCTGAGTTTAAAGGAGAACTATGAGGCGAGTGCTTTCCACTCACCTCATAGTTCTAGCCGACCTGTGACCTGTGAGGCATGTAGGGCTGTGCTGTTGCTTGTAGTCCTCCAGACGTGCTCTGAACCTGACTCGCCCTTGCACCTGTCTGCAAACTTTAGGCATCGGCCGACCTCTCCTGCTGTTTCTTATGCAGCTTCTTGGCCAATCAGTGCAGGCTGTTTGTAGCCATCCCCTGGATCCTCCCTCTTCCTGCCTCTATTTACCATCTTGTTTACTGAGCCTAGGGTGACTGGAGGACGCTAGTTTGTGTCCTCCCGTTACCCTAAGGAGAACTATGGGGAAAAGACTTAACCCCATAGTTCTCCTTTAACATTTTGAGACTCTGGAGATCGGGATTCGGGAATGTCAGAGAAAAGTCAAAAACTTGCAATGTGTGTGCTCATTAGTAACTAAGAACTGAAACCTTTGGATCACCATGACAACCAGGTACTTTTCAGAAGGAGAGGTTTACAAAAAGAAGCATCAATATCTCTTCATTGCATGTTTCTCTTCACTGCAGACTAGGGGGCAGTTCCTTCGTTTTACAGGTGTGGGCCATGGGCAGGGGGAGGCAGGAGCCCAGAAAAGTGGTCTGGGTGGGACTTTCCTGGGTGGTGGTGTTCTATCAAAGTTTGTGACTGTGTTAGAATGTGTGACCGGTGACATCTGTGTTCTATCAAAGATTGTGACTGGGTTGGAGTGTGTGACCGGTCACGTGGTCACACATTTTAACGTAATCACGCCCACTTTTTCGGCATTGAAGTACGTGACCAGCAAAAGGTGAAGAATATGTGTCTTTAATATCTGCCCGGAGTTCAGCTTTAATAAAAAAAATAAGTGTGAGTTTATTATTTAATTGATTTTTTTTAAAAATGTCACTTGATTAACATGACAAGAGAGGTCCTGAGTGTAGTGGTCTGAAGGTATCCCAGCCAATACTATGTCATTTAACTCATCTCAGTACTGGTCCCTGTGCACTGCAAGGGCTAAACATGTGTGGCATTCATCTATGATAGCGCAATACAGCCATAAACATTGTAACCTGATCATCAATAAATATTGCAACCTGATCATCAAGAAATAGTGTAACCTGTTCATCAATAAACATTGCAACCTGATCATCATTAAACATTGCAGCCTGATCATCAATAAACATTGCAGCCTGATCATCAATAAATATTGCAGCCTGATCATCAATAAACATTGCAGCCTGATCATCAATAAATATTGCAGCCTGATCATCAATAAACATTGCAGCCTGATCATCAATAAATATTGCAGCCTGATCATCAATAAACATTGCAGCCTGATCATCAATAAATATTGCAGCCTGATCATCAATAAACATTGCAGCCTGATCATCAATAAATATTGCAGCCTGATCATCAATAAACATTGCAGCCTGATCATCAATAAATATTGCAGCCTGATCATCAATAAACATTGCAGCCTGATCATCAATAAATATTGCAGCCTGATCATCAATAAACATTGCAGCCTGATCATCAATAAATATTGCAGCCTGATCATCAATAAACATTGCAGCCTGATCATCAATAAATATTGCAGCCTGATCATCAATAAACATTGCAGCCTGATCATCAATAAATATTGCAGCCTGATCATCAATAAACATTGCAGCCTGATCATCAATAAATATTGCAGCCTGATCATCAATAAACATTGCAGCCTGATCATCAATAAATATTGCAGCCTGATCATCAATAAACATTGCAGCCTGATCATCAATAAATATTGCAGCCTGATCATCAATAAACATTGCAGCCTGATCATCAATAAATATTGCAGCCTGATCATCAATAAACATTGCAGCCTGATCATCAATAAATATTGCAGCCTGATCATCAATAAACATTGCAGCCTGATCATCAATAAATATTGCAGCCTGATCATCAATAAACATTGCAGCCTGATCATCAATAAATATTGCAGCCTGATCATCAATAAACATTGCAGCCTGATCATCAATAAATATTGCAGCCTGATCATCAATAAACATTGCAGCCTGATCATCAATAAATATTGCAGCCTGATCATCAATAAACATTGCAGCCTGATCATCAATAAATATTGCAGCCTGATCATCAATAAACATTGCAGCCTGATCATCAATAAATATTGCAGCCTGATCATCAATAAACATTGCAGCCTGATCATCAATAAATATTGCAGCCTGATCATCAATAAACATTGCAGCCTGATCATCAATAAATATTGCAGCCTGATCATCAATAAACATTGCAGCCTGATCATCAATAAATATTGCAGCCTGATCATCAATAAACATTGCAGCCTGATCATCAATAAATATTGCAGCCTGATCATCAATAAACATTGCAGCCTGATCATCAATAAATATTGCAGCCTGATCATCAATAAACATTGCAGCCTGATCATCAATAAATATTGCAGCCTGATCATCAATAAACATTGCAGCCTGATCATCAATAAATATTGCAGCCTGATCATCAATAAACATTGCAGCCTGATCATCAATAAATATTGCAGCCTGATCATCAATAAACATTGCAGCCTGATCATCAATAAATATTGCAGCCTGATCATCAATAAACATTGCAGCCTGATCATCAATAAATATTGCAGCCTGATCATCAATAAACATTGCAGCCTGATCATCAATAAATATTGCAGCCTGATCATCAATAAACATTGCAGCCTGATCATCAATAAATATTGCAGCCTGATCATCAATAAACATTGCAGCCTGATCATCAATAAATATTGCAGCCTGATCATCAATAAACATTGCAGCCTGATCATCAATAAATATTGCAGCCTGATCATCAATAAACATTGCAGCCTGATCATCAATAAATATTGCAGCCTGATCATCAATAAACATTGCAGCCTGATCATCAATAAATATTGCAGCCTGATCATCAATAAACATTGCAGCCTGATCATCAATAAATATTGCAGCCTGATCATCAATAAACATTGCAGCCTGATCATCAATAAATATTGCAGCCTGATCATCAATAAACATTGCAGCCTGATCATCAATAAATATTGCAGCCTGATCATCAATAAACATTGCAGCCTGATCATCAATAAATATTGCAGCCTGATCATCAATAAACATTGCAGCCTGATCATCAATAAATATTGCAGCCTGATCATCAATAAACATTGCAGCCTGATCATCAATAAATATTGCAGCCTGATCATCAATAAACATTGCAGCCTGATCATCAATAAATATTGCAGCCTGATCATCAATAAACATTGCAGCCTGATCATCAATAAATATTGCAGCCTGATCATCAATAAACATTGCAGCCTGATCATCAATAAATATTGCAGCCTGATCATCAATAAACATTGCAGCCTGATCATCAATAAATATTGCAGCCTGATCATCAATAAACATTGCAGCCTGATCATCAATAAATATTGCAGCCTGATCATCAATAAACATTGCAGCCTGATCATCAATAAATATTGCAGCCTGATCATCAATAAACATTGCAGCCTGATCATCAATAAATATTGCAGCCTGATCATCAATAAACATTGCAGCCTGATCATCAATAAATATGGTAACCTGATTATCAATAAATACTGTAACCTGCTCATCAATAAACACTGCAAAATGATCATCAATAAATGATCATCAATAAACATTGCAACCTGATCATCATCATCAATAATGATTACAAGATGGATTAGAACCCCTGTCAGGTTTTTATTGCTGTCTGTGTCCCCGTTAGGAAGATTCACCCTCTCCATGTCCCGGTGAATGTTATCACTGAGAGTGAAAGAAAACACAAATTTTGTGTTGTCACCAGAACAGGAATAGAGGGGAAATCTTCCAATGGGGGCACTAGTTCTGGTGACCATGATCACCACCGGGGATTTCTCTCACTTTGAAAGGCGTTCCTCTCACTTCCTGTTGTGGTTATATTGTACCGTAATACAAAAACATTGTAACTTAATAAAAATGGGGCTGTTACTGATTAACATTTCCGTGTTCGATTAATTATAACGCACATACAGATCCAACTACATTGGCCTATACACATACAGCACAGCAATGACCTATACACATACAGCACAGCAATGACCTATACACATACAGCACAGCAATGAAGTAATAAAATGAACTAGGATCACACTAATCCAGCACGTTATTAATCTCACGTGCCCCACCCAATATGGCCGCCGCTTGAGTGGGGCAACTCAGAATAATAACGTGCTGGATGAGTGTGATCCTAGTTCATTTTATTACTTCATTGCTGTGCTGTATGTGTATAGGTCATTGCTGTGCTGTATGTGTATAGGCCAATGCCTTGGCTGGCGCTCGTGCAGAAAGTTTCTTGGGCAAACTCACCGGCTCAAGTGGCTTCGTCGGCTAACGGAGGGGGGAGGTGAAATCCGGGAGCCGGCGGAGAGGTGAGTGTTTTCATTAGCGATCAAAAAGAATTTTAATCGATCAAAAATGTTAACGATTAATCGAGAAATTAATCGTTAATTTCCGCAGCCCTAAATAAAAAAGGTAACTCAATAGAAAATAAACATTGTAACCTGAAAAAAAATAACAATATAAACAAATTGTAATAAAAAATAAATATGGTAACTTAATAAACAATAAACATTGTAAATTCATTTAAAAAATAAATATTATAACCGAAAAAGTAACTTAATTAAAAAAAAACATTGTAACCTAAAAAATGAAACATTGTAAATTGATTAAAATATATATAACTTAAAAAGAATAAAATTGTTACTTTAAAAAAACGTAAATTAATTTTAAAAATTGTAACGTAATAAAAAATAAACATTGTAACTTAAAATAATAAATATGGCGCCTTAATCATCAAAAAACATTGTAACTTAATCAACTGCTGCAAACTTGGTCAGAAGTTTTAACTTAGAGGTAGCAGCCTCGGCACTCCAGCTGTGCTGAAACTACAAATCCCATCATGCCTCTGCCTCTGGACGTCATGCCTGTGGCTGTCTGAGTCTTGCAATGCCTCATGGGACTTGTAGTTCCACGACAGCTGGAGGGCCGAGGTTGCCCACCCCTGGTAGATATCAAACAATGTTATCAGCTTTCCCAGATATCTTCTGTAAATTCTCCCACCCGCATCTAATGGAGACAGGGGAGGGGGGTGGGGGGGGGGGGCAGTCCAAATCAGGAGAGCAGCCCAGGGTGACACCACTGCTCCTCCATAGATACAGTGCAATGAGTGTTGTCACCCTAGGACAGGAAGTGGGTTACTGACAGGATCACAAGGTGAGTATTAAGGGGGAAAGAGCCTAACGACCGGAATCTTAACACATAGGGACGCTGCCCTGAAAAAGAAACAATGCAGTGATAGGATGACATGCTGTATATCACATGGGACATGGCATGTACCTGACACGAGAACACATGGGGGCCGCCATGACGTGTCCAGAAATGCTATAGGCATGGCTGTTATTTCCATCCTCCGGCTTCAATACAATGTATAGATTTGTGATTGATCGCAAATCAGTGATATAAAGATGGAATGATGCAACACGTACGGTGATAATAGAAAACAAAAGATCAGAAACTATTGAAATCTGCTGAAAACGATTTACGATTGGTTGTCTGGCACCTGTGTCGATCGGACACGATCAATAAAGTTCCACCGTGGCCGATCGGGTTATTGGCACCGAAATCGATCGGAAGCTCAATTAATCGATCGATTGGAGCGCCTGCGGTTTGTGATTCTGTTTTTATTCGATTGGTCATATGTGATGTGTGTGTGTGGCCACCTTAAGACATGATGAAGACAAGAGGATCAGCATGACATCCAGCAATGGCAGCCCCCATGATTCCGTTATCCCCTCGAAGCATTTTTTTTATAGGACCTATAATTAGGAGAAAAGAAGAATAGCAGATTAAATAATAATGAGAAGCGCCGGACCTCCGTCGCTGAAGTCGCGGGCGACGTTCCTCTTGGGTCGGGATAGCGGGATTTTATCCACCCAGGAATAAAGTTCCTGCAGGTTGTGCTCATCGAATTCCACAGCCATCCTTCCTTCCTTCTCCGTACACCTGAGCCCTCGGCCCTGCGCCTCCCGGCTGATGTTATTGTTTGTGGTCGCCATGGCAGCAGCAACAGGAGCTGAAAGGGACTCTGGGCAATGCAGTCCAGGACTCAAAGTTTTTTTTTTTTTGCTTCAACAAACTTTATTCGGAGTTTCTGGTTGACTTCACTTTGTTTATTTTCATCCTAATTTAGAGGAAAGGGCTGATGTGTGTATGTGTTCCAGGTCGGTGACTTGGCAGAGGATCAGCATGACAGCCGGGCGACCAGCAATTTCAGATGACAGAAACTGCAACGTTTCTTTTAAGGCTGCGTTCCCACCACTTGCATTTTTAATGCATCTTTTCATGCGTTCTACGCAGGGGTGTCACCAGGCTGGGTGTCACCCAGTGCGTACATCATTACGTATACATTTGACCTAATTAGGCACACGCACTTCACTGCCGGCGGCCATCTTGGTGATGGATGCCAGCAAAGAGAGGAGAGGACATTCAGAATGGAGGTATGCCGCCGGTTCCCTCCCCTCTCGTGCAGCTGTCAGGCGCTCAGTCCTTTACCGAGTGCCTGACTTTTCAGAAGGGCGTTGTCAGTCATTTTGGTGTCACCCCCTTTGATGGTGACACCTGGTGCAGGCCGGACCCCCCTTGTGACGCCTCTGGTTTTATGCTACTTTGTTGATTCTGTCAGCCAATGAGGTGCTGAGTGGAGTCGAGGTTGCTATGGGAGGGGCTAGTTACCATGCCTTGGAAACACGCTAAAACACATATTACATATGTCTTCATGTGCTGCCATTGCCGTTGATTGATTGCTTGCCATGGGCGACTGCTCCAGATTCTGTCTGTTCTACTCTTAGGTCCCATTCACACCTGAGCGTGAATAAAAGGGGACACCAAAACTGTTGAGCACCAACTAAAAGGGGGCACCAGAACCCCTGACTACCAACCAAAAGGGGGCACCAAAACCACTGACCGACAACTAAAAGGGGGCACCAAAACCAGTGACCACTAATTAAAAGGGGTCCCCAAAACCCCTGACTACCAACCAAAAAGGGGCAGCAAAACCACTGACCGACAACTAAAAAGGGAGAACCAAATTACTGACCGCCAACTTAAAGGAGGCACCAAACTGATGACCACCAACTAAAATGGGGCATTAAACCTACAACCACCAACTGAAAGGGGGTCACCAAAACCACTGACCACTAACTAAAAGGTGGGCGGGGCTGCCACAGTAACTGGTAGAGCACAGCCTGCCACCATTGTCACTGTCATTACTCTTGTGTATGTTTTAGTTTATGGATTTCTTTTGTTGCTGGCTGATTCTCCTTCATATACAACAATCACACATTTCACCGTCTCCATTTCTTGGACTGACAATCATTTTGTCACACAGAGGAGGGGAGGAGTCATAAAACCCCCCGCCCCCGGTGTCAGGTATATGCTTAGATAATACACATTGATCTGGGTGCATTCACATATACAAAACACAGATTCCCTGGAAGCAGCTCTGGATTCGCAGCTTCCCTCCTAGGGCCCGGGTTCGGAGTATTTTTACTGTCCGGGGGGGCTGAGCGTAGTATCTGGTCACTACGTGTCTGAGCCTGTCACCTCCTGTGTGCAGCTTGGAAATCTCTGTACTCAGCCAGTCCATTCCTATCCACTGGACACATCACACAGACCTTCAATGCTCCTCTCATGCCTTGCAACTGGACCGCTCACGTATTCCGGAGACTATGAGGAACCTTCTGGGTGCTGTCATCCTCATCCTCCTGCAGCAGCTCTCCAGGAGCGAAGGTGAGTGATGATGGGAGAACTTTCCATTGGATACCTGGGTGACATTGGGTGAGATTGTGTGACATTGCCACCCATGTGGTCTCCTGGATGTGGACATTCTCCACATCCAGAGGAGAGAGGAGAAAAGAAGATAAAAGAGGATACAAATCCACGGGAGGGATCCATACGAGTGTGTTGGCGTATATAGAAATGTGGGGAAAGGTTGAAATTGTAGATTGTGTCGTCGTCCCCCCATGTGTGAGGTTGCAAGAAACCCATTAAGGGGTCAACCAAACTTCATAAGAAGCTTGTGGTGAAAATGTCTCTGTCCATGCAGAACGAGGTGTAATAGAAGATGAGGTCAGTGGGGGAGCCCATGTGGAGAGGAGATGCCTGAGAACATTCCACAGAAGGTATCTATTGGTGATAAAACACTTAAGGAAGGTCGTCAACGCGCTTCGTGGTGCTGCATCGACCATACTTACTATCTTCATAATCCGGCAACCCCGTGGTCATCACTCATGTGAGACGTCTTTCCTTTTCTTGCTTCCTTTCGGGGGGATCGTCTTCTAAAATTTTGGGAAAATTTCGGACATGGACCAGAAACTAGATAAAAATATTGTTTTTTACTGCTTTCATCATTTTAAAACCAGTGTTACCCACACACAGTATGTATAGGATTGTATATTCTGTGTTACACTGAGGCAGGGCGACCCCGGCCCTCCAGCTGTTGTGGAACTACAAGTCCCACGAGGCATTGCAAGACTGACCATTACAGGCATGACTTCTAGAGGCAGAGGCATGCTGGGATTTGTAGTTGAGGCACAGCCAGAGTCGCCCACCCCTGTAGTAAGGGGTGGGTAATTCATAAGAAAATGTTCATAGCTATCTAGGGCTGCAATTAACGATTATTCTTCGTTCGGCTCACTTCCCTACGGTCCGGTTATTCGGCAGCTTTGTGAATAAACCCCTTAAGGAGCTATTCGAGCACGCATGGCTTGAATAGCTTCGGCCAGGGAATGTAAGCACAGCAGGCAGTGGGTGTGTGCAATAGCCAGTTTTCTATTGGTTATTGCAATTTGAAATAGCCAATAGGCATCTGATCACTTAGGGGGTCTATTTAAAGGAGAACTATGAGGGGGGGGTGCTTTTCACTCACCTCATAGTTCTAGCCGACCTGTGACAATGAGACTGTCACGGGTCGGTTCAGGAGATCGGGAAGTGAACACATACCGGCGCTCACTTCTCGATCCTAAAGCAGAGACACCGGCACTCCATAGTGGAGTGCCGGTGTCTCTGCTTTAGCTCACGATTGTTACGGCTGCCACCCGTTGACTGCCGCAGCACCCAATTCTTGAAGGCATTCACGCGGTCAGGAGTCCGATGGGACCATGGACTATCCACTTCTCGATCCTGTCACGGCTCTCTGCCGTGACAGGGGAGTGGCTGGATTCCCCCCTCCCCGCTCCGATCCTCCAGTGCTGACTGGCCGAACGGACGGGGTAGGGGGCGGGTACAGCTGGCTCTGCCTCTAGATAGGCGGAGCCAGCTGTCACTCACGCAGCTGGGCGGATCCAGACATAATTGTCGGGATCCGCTTCAGCTGCGGCGTCTCAGTATACTATGAGCTGTAGCTCCCTATATACTGAGCTTAGGGTGACGGGAGGACGCTAGTTTGTGTCCTCCCGTTACCCTAACGCTGGGTTCACACCTTAGCGTATTGAAAACTCGCGTTCGGCGCGCTTTCTTACCGCGATTTGCGGCAAAAGAAACGCGCTGCAAAAGCGAGTTTCCGAGGGGGTATCCGGCTGTATCCTGATGGATACAGCGGGATACGCGCGTTAATACGCCCCAAAGAAGCTCCTGTACTTCTTTGGGCGTGTGGCGTTTTACCGCGCGATCGTACGCGCGGTAAAACGCGCAGGTGAGAACCATGCCCATAGGCAAACATGGGTTTTCACCTGTTGCGCGTTTTACCGAGCGTAGGAACGCGCGGTAAAACGCTCAGGTGTGAACCCGGGCCTAAGGAGAACTATGGGGAAAAGCCCTGACCCCATAGTTCTCCTTTAAACATGCCCCAGGACACTGCATGGGCAGGACAGAGGGCCGAGATGGAGGACTAATCCAGGACTGTTGTCACCCATGCACTTAGGGGGTCTAGTTATAAAAATAAATACATCGTCTAGTTCTTCTTCCAGCAAATCTTCCTCTACATTCGTTCTGTATGGATTAACCAGCTTTGGGAGAATGGGGCAAAAATCGAATGTTTTCTCTTCTGGTTGAATGTTCTTCAACTATCATGTCCAGTTGTGAATCCAGAAAATACCGGGATCCCCGTGGTAACAATGGTCACATGTACCTGCGAATACCCTCCAGTGGTCTCTAGAGTCGTTACATTGCATCTCTTCTTACTAATGCTGGGCACACACCTTACAACCAGCGCAAGACTTCTGTCTTGCGCTGGTTGTAAGGTACTTAAAAAAACGTACGATCTGCCCATCTTGCATAGGCAGATCGGGCTTGCGATGATCGGGCTTCCGAAGACCGCAATGCCGAACGGGCAGTGTGCGCTTGCGCACACCGGCCCGTTCGGCTGTTATCGTACGATGCTCGGCGGGTTTGCAAACATGTTCGGGTCCCCACACACCTTACGATTATCGTACGATAATGGCGGGAAATCCCGTTCAATTAAAAGAAATAATATTAAAATAATTCATATAATATAACAAGTTTTTTTGCTTTTTTTGTGTCCACTTCCAGCAGCAGCCGTCCCTCATACGGCGAGTCGGGGAATGTCAGATGGCGGTGATGAGCGTCCTGGAGCGCCCGGCGCACGCAAGGTGATGATCTGATTAGACAATGAAGAGGGGCACTGACCCGCGGTTTCTTGCTGAGAATATAACAGTGTAGGTCAGGGGTGGGCAAACTCCGCCCCCCCCCAGCTGTGGTGATACTACAAATCCCATCATGCCTCAGGGAGTCATGCCTGTGGCTGTCAGAGAATTGCAGTGCCTCATGGGATTTGTAGTTTCACAGCAGCTGGAGGGCCGGAGTTTGGTTACCCATCGATCGTTCGCATTTAATCATCACAGAGCAGACAGTCATATTGTGGGCGTGTCTATTATTAGCCCCTCCCCTTTTTTGACTGTCGCTATACTGGGCTGCCCCTTCCTGATATAAAAGACACATTAATGAGCTCTGTAATATAGTGTAAGTACCTGAATGTGACCCCGTATCAGCCTT